TCATTAATTTTTTGTTCTTTCTTGAGGAGCTAAGTTTTGTCACTCCAAAGACAACTACTGAAGCAGAACCTTAGACCACGTAAAATAGAAAAAAAAAAAGGAATACAATCAGAACTGATGAAGCCACTGCCAGTTATTTTTGTCACACACAGCTTATTGTTCCACTATTGCAAGAAACACAATATTAGTAGAGTACAGACTTTGAATGTGAATTCACTGGATTACTGACTCAAGTGCATACTGTAGTATTGTCACAGAGAACTTAAAATAAAAAAAACCTATAATGTCTGCTCTTCAAAGAATTGTAATTGGAGCAGCCTCCAAGGTAGTACACTTCCCAGAGTGCCACTGGTTCAGAAGGGAATCTTACTATTCTAGCAGGAAAGAACCCACAAACAAAATATGTGAAAGACAAAGCAATGTAAAAAGCTAGTTCCCACCTAACAACCAACAAAGCTTTGCAATATCAGGAATATCAGCAAGCTTATGGGATCATAACACATTTCACAGTCAGTCAAAAACCTATTACAAAAAATTCTTGGCCCCAGCTACCACTTATTTAAAGACAATGGGAATAACCAGTAGAAACATAAGGAAATGAGATGTTTTTGCAATTTCAAAGTTTTGGAACAACTTGCTTAATAAGCTGCATATCTCAAATAGAAAGTTCAACTGCACAATAGCAGAGTAATTGGTATGAAGAAAGACAGTGGACCAGCACCAGACACACTAAACTACCAGGACTGTTATTAAGCTTGAAACCTCAGAAAACTAAAAATAGATCAAAAGGAAAAGCTCAAATGATGAAACACAATAGTTCATATACAACACCAAAGGAACTACTATGACACCAGAAGAATTAAAACAATATTAAGATGCACTCTAAATATCCAGACTAAACATTCAAGGATCAGTCTACACCAAAGTCTCAAGTTCCCACCATCTCAGACTGTAAGGATAAGACAAATATTGTAACCTGCCCAATCATGAGGAAGTTGGATACTGCAGATCTTGTGATGAAGAGATGGCTTAAGGTAGGAAGAAGAAGACACACCTAGCTTGAAAAAGAAATGAAGTTGTATAACACATATAAAATATTTATCGATCTAGTACTTATAAATTGTTTCAGTAAGAATACAAGCACAAGTATGGGAAGAACTTACCAATCAGCACACACAACATAATCAAATCTTTGCTTCAAGTGCTGCAGATCTTCTTCTTCGTCCCAGCGAAGCAATCTGGAAAGGTAGTTATCTCACAATCGATTTTTCTTCTGAATCATGGTTAAAAAATTCTTATATTGTTATTACTTATTGATTATCTAAGGTTGTGCATATAAAATAAAAAACAGAAAACAGCAATGAGCAAATAAAGTAAAAGTAATGGGGGCCATCAAGACCTTAACTAAGATAATTGATATTGGTGAAATTTTTAGTTTAAAGGTTTACAAAAATCTTTCAATTTTTCAAACAACATACAACAACTGTAGCTGTTGGGCACATAATATGAAAGATCCTGCCTGTTTTATCAGACAAAAATATCATTATATTTAGCTGAGAAGCATGTATGTTTCACATAGATGGTGCAGCATTTTAACTGCCATTCAACAAACTGAGTTTTCAAGTCACATCCTAGATTTGGAAACAAAAATTCAAGATCAATTTTCAACAAAACAATTTTGTGATTCCTAGCCTCAGGTATAATTTCACAATCATGCATACATCAAAAATATGTTACATGTATTGTTCTTTATTCTATAAATTCCAGTGTGCTTTCATCAGATTTTATTTATGTACCACTTAATAATGTAAGCAATGCTCAAGAGTAATTGATGTTAACATTTTCCTAAACTGAAAATTTATTTCCAATAATAATTATCTCCGCTGACATTATAGCTATATCTTGATCTCCAGGGTTTCCACTCGTTGCCCATCTAAGCATTGAATTGCTTGCTCCAGTCTTTTATACCCCACTTGAATACCCTTGGCAAATTTTAATTTGCAAATTCCTCCACCAACTTCAATGCACTCTCTGTCTAGGTACTGTATATAATCATCTCATTCAGATAATGTAATCATTTTTTCTCGACAAAACATTTGGCACGGGTTTCTATAAATACGAGTGTTGTGTTTATTTACAATTTACGTTGCTACTTTGAATGTGGTTTTCGAAACAATGGTTATATGTTCATATATTTATAAATTACTTTAATAATAATAATAAAAACCACATACTGATGGGTAGGAATTCTCAAGTTAATGTTTCTATTACAGAGGCCATTCAGACCTCTCTCTTCCACCTCTGTTATCTGGTATTTGTCAAAGACCAGGGGAGAGGTCACCCTCAGTCAAGGCTGCGTGGGATATGATCCGTTGCAAGATGGACACATATATGCAGACTGGGGATGTCTCTCCAAGGGGTTCTGAGGGAGCTTTTACAAATGATTTTGACCAGCTGGGGAGAATTTAGACTCGTTTTTTCCAGCTCCTTCTTTTACTAGGTTGGCCTCAACAGAGGATCATTTTGATCAGCCAGCTCCAGCTACTTTTCTTCAGGTGGTTACTCGGGTTTGTGAGGTTTTGAAAGTCTCTCCCATTGCATTTGACTCTACCCCTTCTTTGTTGGCAGCAAGGATGACAAGTGACTACTTGGTTTTTCCTCTATCTCCTTATATTGCTGTTCATGCTGGGAGATTTGCTGCTCAGTTACACGATGGGATAGCTATGCCTTGTGCCCCACGTTTATCGCAACAGCATGCTTTGGCTTATCACCACCAGGAAGGAGGTATATGTCGATTCTCAACGAATGGAACCCCCTATTTGGACCTGTGTGGTCTCGATTGGAACCTGTGATAACTTTATACAGATCACAGTTTTCTTGGATTCATCTTACTCTCACGACTATCCTGAGGTCCTCCTACTTGGATTCCTGGATGTTTTCCCAGATGTCAGTAGGAGTGACACAAGCCTTCGTGGGAGCCTACTTGTAATTCCAGTTCAGATTTGACATGAAGCTATCCAGTTGGGGGTGCATGGCCCTTCTATTTGATCCATGTTGGTTTTGTATATTGTTCCTGGAAGCAAGTCCACTATCTCCTCATAATTTGAATGCGATGTGGTCCCATCCTAGGTCCTTGGTTGAGCACAGGTTCCACATCGTCTCCATAATTTCAGGGGCAAGTGGAATACTCCTTGCCCACTTGGTTGGGGAGTGAGGATGAATGTTCATAATTCCAGAGGGGATAAGTTCTGTTCCTATGGTTGAGTATGGCATACAAGATCCCATCATTCCAAGCCTGGGTTGTTGCCTTTAGGACTTCTTAAGGTGGAGGAGAAAGTTTGTCCACTTCGGTGTTGCTTACTTTCACATCATGATTCTGGTGGTGCAAAATGCATCACTCTATGGCTACAGATTGGGATCTAATCAAAAGTATGTATAATATTGCAGTCCAATAGCCCTAGCCACCAACGTGGGATATAAGTACCATGACCCCTTAATTCCAACCCCGAGTTGTGGAACCTCGGCTATCTGGTTGGGGCTGGCCTATACTGACAA